TAAAACAGTGTTTTTCAAACTTGGCAACTTTAAGATGTGTGGACTTCAAAACCCAGAATTCCCCAGCCAATCGAAGTCCACATATCTTAAAGTTGTCAAGTTTGAAAAACACTAGTGTAACAAAAGGTGTGAATTCTGTAAATGTGACATATCCAGATTTACAAACCGTGGTTTAGAAAAGGCTCTGAACCAGATCATTACCTTTCAGAGCCTTAATACAGTATATAACCTCTTCTTTCCATGGATTTAATTTAATGCATTTCAAGTTCAGGAGTCCTTATTTTGGTTTTAGATCAGGGGTAGTCAACCTTGGCTCTTTTATGACTCGTGGACTTCAATTCCCAGAATTCCTGAGCTTAGCTGGCTCAGGAATTCTGGGAGTTGAAGTCCACGAGTCATAAAAGAGCCAAGGTTGACTACCCCTGTTTTAGACTGTAAGGTGTTTTTAGTGATTTGCTGGCAACTCATTCTTTTCCCCTTATTCTTAGGCTTATGGCACTGTATATCAAGCCCTATAAAGTGGATGTATTTAATAAAACACTGAACTATATTTCTCCCATGAAAAAGCTGCCAGATGTTTCATGCTGTCTGATTTTATTAGCCGGCTACAGAAAGAAGTATACACGTCATCCCTTTTTTTAAAAAAGAGTTCATTTTCTGTCTGGTCACATTTCCCCAGCTTCCTCCACTTCTTCAAGTAGAGTTGATAGTCCTGCTAGTAATTTTAAAATTAACTCCACCATTAAAGTCAGGAGAAGTTTCAGATCTGGAAAGTTTAATATTATCTTGGTTTGGAGAGTAAAGTTTTAAATTGTCAACAGCATGATCAACAGGAACAGGGGGTCCATAACAGCATCAGTGATCTATTATGAGAATATGAATGAAGAATTTGGGAAAGACCTACAAGTCCTACAAGGAACAGTTAAAAGATCTAGGTACATTTAGTCTGTTGAAGAGAAGTTGAGAAAGGACATGATAGCTGTTTTCAAATATCTGAAGGGATACCATGTTGTAAAAGGTGCAGATTTATTTTCATTTGCTCCAGAAAGGACAGGTATTACAACTGAAACCAGAACTTCCATCGCTAAGCAAGGCAGTTATGAAGTGAGCAATGCCCAATTTTACAACCTTTTTGTCACAGTTAAGTGAATGGATTAGATGACCTCCAAGGTCCCTTCCAACATCTTCTTCTTCTTCTTCTTCTTCTTCTTCATCATCATCATCATCATCATCATCATCATCATCATCATCATCATCATTATTATTATTATTATTATTATTATCCCTGCAGTTACTAAGTGAATGACGCAGTTGTTAAGCAAATTCAGTTTCCTCCATTGCCTCTCTTGTTGGAAGTTGGCTGGGAAAGTCACAAATGATCATCACATGACCCTAGGACACTGCAGCCATTGTAAATACATGCCCGTTTCTAAGCGACCAAATTTTGATCATATGACTGTAGGGATGCTGCAACAGTCATAAGTGCAAGGACCAGTTATAATGTAACTTTGAACAGTCACTAAATGAATGTTTGTAAATCAAAGACTACATGTAAGACTAGCACTAATGGGGTGAAACTTCAAGGATATAGATAGAGATTAGACTTTAAGAAGAACCTCTTGACAACGATAGCTGCCAATAAATGGAATAGCTTACCACGTAGAGTGGCTTCTTCCCATTCACTGGAAGCTTTCAAACAATGGCTGGCTGAGGAAATCTGGGAGTTGAAGTCCAGAAGTCTTAAAGTTGCCAAATTTGGAGAGCTTTGGTATAGCAAATCTTGCAGCATGCAGGGGATTGGACATGATGACCCAATCTCAGGTCTCTTCTCAATCTATGATTCTTTGGGAATTCTAGTCAGTTGGCTATCATTCTAGTCAGTTGGCTCTCTTGGCTTGGGCTTATGGGCGTTAGAGTCTCTCAAGCAACTTAGGACCATGAATGTAGTATCATTCAACTCCCCGTGCAGACTGTTATTTGTAATGTAACACAGATTCACAAAAAATTTCAATCCCAAAAATTTTAAAAAGAGATATGCAAGCTTTTGGCCTCAGTGGACCAAATGAGATAATACTGGCAACACTAACTGAGCATGTTCACACAACCTGCTAGACTACACTCACATTCAGGTAGATTTCCAAACTAAAATGCAAAAATCAGGTACCAGTTTCAGTTCCAACCTCAGTGCCTGAAGCTAAGATTCCTCCAGCCTCCTTGTTTTTCAAAGAACACCTTGGAATGCCCACCTGTCTACAATCAAAGCAGCACAAAACAGATCAGATGCTACAAATCATTTTGCAATTATATCTGTTAGTCAACCTCATTTTCTTGAAGAACTAATAGTTGTTGCACATAAACTAGCCACTCATTAATCAGACAAAAACACAGAATCACAGTTGGACTNTAAAACAGTGTTTTTCAAACTTGGCAACTTTAAGATGTGTGGACTTCAAAACCCAGAATTCCCCAGCCAATCGAAGTCCACATATCTTAAAGTTGTCAAGTTTGAAAAACACTAGTGTAACAAAAGGTGTGAATTCTGTAAATGTGACATATCCAGATTTACAAACCGTGGTTTAGAAAAGGCTCTGAACCAGATCATTGCCTTTCAGAGCCTTAATACAGTATATAACCTCTTCTTTCCATGGATTTAATTTAATGCATTTCAAGTTCAGGAGTCCTTATTTTGGTTTTAGATCAGGGGTAGTCAACCTTGGCTCTTTTATGACTCGTGGACTTCAATTCCCAGAATTCCTGAGCCAGCTTAGCTGGCTCAGGAATTCTGGGAGTTGAAGTCCACGAGTCATAAAAGAGCCAAGGTTGACTACCCCTGTTTTAGACTGTAAGGTGTTTTTGGTGATTTGCTGGCAACTCATTCTTTTCCCCTTATTCTTAGGCTTACGGCACTGTATATCAAGCCCTATAAAGTGGATGTATTTAATAAAACACTGAACTATATTTCTCCCATGAAAAAGCTGCCAGATGTTTCATGCTGTCTGATTTTATTAGCCGGCTACAGAAAGAAGTATACACGTCATCCCTTTAAAAAAAAAAAAGAGTACATTTTCTGTCTGGTCACATTTCCCCAGCCTCCTCCACTTCTTCAAGTAGAGTTGATAGTCCTGCTAGTAATTTTAAAATTAACTCCACCATTAAAGTCAGGAGAAATTTCAGATCTGGAAAGTTTAACATTATCTTGGTTTGGAGAGTAGAGTTAAGTTTTAAACTGTCAACAGCATGATCAACAGGAACAGGGGATCCATAAGAGTATCAGTGATCTATTATGAGAATATGAACGAAGAATTTGGGAAAGACCTACAAGTCCTACAAGGAACAGTTAAAAGATCTAGGCACATTTAGTCTGTTGAAGAAAAGTTGAGAAAGGACATGATAGCTGTTTTCAAATATCTGAAGGGATACCATGTTGTAAAAGGTGCAGATTTATTTTCATTTGCTCCAGAAAGGACAAGTATCACAACTGAAACCAGAACTTCCATCGCTAAGCAAGGCAGTTATGAAGTGAGCAATGCCCAATTTTACAACCTTTTTGTCACAGTTAAGTGAATGGATTAGATGACCTCCAAGGTCCCTTCCAACATCATCATCATCATCATCATCTTCTTCTTCTTCTTCTTCTTCTTCTTCTTCTTCTTCTTCTTCTTCTTCTTCTTCTTCTTCTTCTTCTTCTTCTTCTTCTTCTTCTTCTTCTTCTTCTTCTTCTTCTTCTTCTTCTTCTTCTTCTTCTTCTTCTTCTTCTTCTTCTTCTTCTTCTTCTTCTTCTTCTTCTTCATCATCATCATCATCATCATCATCAT